CTTATTCCTTGGGGTACATCTGCAAACAAATGACACCAAAGCAAAAGTATCTCATATCACCATGGTAGAAAGCAAGAGTATCTCATATCATGCGTTCTCCCTTTCCTTTCCTTTATCCTTGTTCTTACCTGCAAAGACAAGGATAAAGAAAGCAATATGCCGGAACCTCCACTGCTCTCGAGTACTCGTCTTCCACTGCTGCTGTACTTCCAAAGAAGCTGCCACATCTGCCTGGAGAACAGATAAGGCAAGTGAAAATGATACCTTGCAGCATGTGGAGACAACGTGCAGAAGAAACAAGCAGAGAAGAATGCAGCCTGCACAGTCAACTCAGCAAAAGGAGTCTGAGCTGAGGAACTCGAGAAAATACTACATTATGCCAAAAGAATAGATAAGGCAAGGGAAAATGATACATTGAAGCATGTGGAGACAAGCACAACAAAGCACGTGTCGATTCATCCGCTACTTCTTCAAAATCAAAAGTATCTCATATCATCAGGGTTGCAATCACTCTGGGTGAAGGACTCGTTTTGACCCTCAAATTCTTGGGTCGACTCGCTAGGCGTTGTGGGCTGCACGTGCCGATTCACCACCCTTGAATCAAATCCTTAAAGATCAAGTCACCAATTGGAAGAAGAGCCCATCAATCTTGAAGATCATACCGTTGACCAAACTGCTCAGGTGTGAATTAGAAAGATTGAACAAAGCAACAAGTCGTCACATTCACCTCGTGCTTACTTGCCATGTGTTTGAGTCAACCTTCAAGAATCAAGCCTCAACGGCCCTTGAGGAAATCACAAGTCTGATTCAAGATCAAGCGTCCACCACCCTTGAATCAAATCCAGTTCAAGAATAAGCTGAGGAAAGTCAATAATTGGAGGAATCCAGAAAATCCTCCAACCCAGTTCAAGATCAAAGTTGTGGAAAGTCAACAAGCGTAACAAAATACGTGTCGATTCATCCACTACCAAAGCCAAAGATCATCTACCACATGAAGCTCCTTGTGGTCCGATTTCAACCTTCAAGATCAAGCCTCGACGGCCCTTGAAGACATTTTCAGCCCAATTCAAGATCAAGCATCAACGGCCCTTAAAGAAATCTCAAGCCAAATTCAAGATCAAGCCTCAATGGCCCTTAGATCGACATCTACAATAAGGGACTTCAAAACACATCTCCTACACATGATAAGCACATGTATACGACGCGTCTTGAAGTAGGGGCATTTGTAGACATCGAAATTTCGGTAAATAAATATTGACCGATAAGTCAAAGTTTCAACGCTTATGTATTACACAAATTTTACACGTAGCGTGTGTCTAAACAAAAAATCAAGAATCATCGGAAAAGTCATCAAACAGGACATGTGTCAACACCTGGCAGAAACGACTTATTTCATCTGGAATATTATATTCAAAATTAGTCCTTGGAAAATTCTATAAATAGAAGCCAATTTCATTCATTTTTTTGGAACCAATTCATATTACACCTTGAAGCTCTGAAGCTCTGAAACTCCGAAGCTCTCAAGCATCCAGGTTCCCGAAGAATCAAGAAAGCCTTCTTCGTTCTTCGTTCATCATTCTTCCAAGATCAAGCCTCGACGGCCCTTGGATCAACAATCATCCACCTTCAAGATCAAGCCCCGACGGCCCCTTTGAAGAACTTCCACCAATTCAAGATCAAGCCCCAAAGGCCCTTGAAGAACTTCCACCAATTCAAGATCAAGCCATGACGGCCCTTAAAGAAAGTGTTCATCGTTCATCATCCGTTCATCCCGAAGAATCAAGAAAGCCTTCTTCGTTCTTCGTTCATCGTTCTTCCAAGATCAAGTCCTGACGGCCCTTGGATCAACAATCATCCACCTTCAAGATCAAGCCCCAAAGGCCCTTGAAGAACTTCCACCAATTCAAGATCAAGTCCCGATGGCCGTTGAAGAAAGTGTTCATTGTTCATCATCCGTTCATCCCGAAGAATCAAGAAAGCCCTCTTCGTTCTTCGTTCATCGTTCTTCAAGATCAAGCCCAAAAGCCCCCTTGAAGATCCGTTCATCACCGTTATTCAAGATCAAGCCTCAACGGCCCTTGAAGAAACGCTCATCCTCAAGATCAAGCCCCAACGACTCCTTGAAGATCCGCTCAAATCCACTTTCAAGATCAAGCCCACGGCCCTTGAAGAACGTTCATCCTTAGATCAAGCCCAACGGCCCTTTGGATCAATCGCACATCCACAAATCAACACCTTACGAAGATCAAATCAGAGAATCAAATTTAAGAGAGATTGTAACCCAAAATCATCAAATACAAATATTATTTTGCACACGTTGTTCTTGTCTCTTTCCTTTCAGGAAATTTTCGTGTTCACAAGGCCGTTTCTCAAACCCACGAGCTCTAGACCCGTTTTAGCCAGCCCAGTACCCTCAACCTTTCCCTTTTTATTTTTGATTTAAATCCTTAAGACCCAAAAGGCCTTAAGGCCGTGATAGCAAGGCCCAAACCATTTGGCTTCAAGGCTTAGGGCTGGGAGGAACTCGGGCCTCCAGCCCGTTAAGCCCAGTTTATTTTTATTTTAATTTAATTGTTTTAAAAACCAAAATGACCTTTGAGCCATTTCTGTTGGGGCTCTAAGTCCAAAACCCTTTACCCTAAACCCATTAGGCTTTAACCATCCAACCCAAATCCTTTATTTTATTTAATTCAAGCCCAAATCCTTTAGAAAACCCAATAGGTCCTAACCCTATTTAACCTAAACCCAAACCCTAATCTGGATCCAAACCTAAGACCCATTTCCATTTCTTGAAATTCTATAGTTGGGTAGTTTGATAAATTGTACATTTTTGCGCTTAGGTGAAGTTGCTAGCGAGGATTTCCTTAATCCTTTTCCGCACAACTCTGCTGCCACGGAGTATCTATGAGTGGATCCCTTCTAAAATTTGCATAATTATATAGTTTATTTGCATAAATGAAATGCATGCCTTACGAGTTTATGAACTAATTTTATGTTAAGCTTATTTTTGGAATATGTTGTTTATTGTCTCATTTTTTGTGAAGAAATAATTATTAGCCTATATTAAGCTATAGTTTGACATATCGTATTTTCTATAAAAACCATGAACTGGTAGACTATTTGATGGATGACGATAGGATGCTAGAACATGTTTTAGAAACCCCTCTTTATAGTATAGACGATGGATGATTTTATACTATGAAGTGGTTATTTATGAAAGGCGTAACTATTTGTGCGTACCTAATGGACACTATGCCGCCTGGGGCGAGGATCTGGTACTGGCAGTTAGGCCGGGAGAAATAATCCCTAGCTACGGGTTGAGAGACACGGAGCAGGCATTGGGCCGGGAGTTGGTAATCTCTGGTTACGGGCGCAAAGACCACAATGTTGGCATAGGGCCGGGAGTTATATTTATTCAGTGATCTTACTGGCAGCACACCGCGCTTACGAGACGATCTATGGGACGTTTGATGTTTTGATTTCTGCGATGTTATTCCACGATATGTCTTTAGAGATGTTTTTGGCATGCTAGGGTTTTCAGTAAACCTATCACTTATTACGCTAGTAGTTTTCTGTATATAAATTGTGGGGGTTATTATCTTGATAATTGTTTTATTATTACTGTATATATGAACTTAGTCCACTCACCTTTGTTTTGCGCCCCCATTCAGGACTTAGAATCGAGGCATACAATCTTAGCGTCAAGGCACCTCCGCAGCGGCATCTTCGAGTCCTCTTGGTGTAAGACGTACTCCTTTGTTCACTCAATTTTATATTATTTTTTTCAGTATTCTGGTTAGTTGTATGCTCTGAACAAATTCCTTAAATGCATATTCTTTATTTTTATATTTATAAGTCTTAATTATTCCTTATTTTCAGCCTTTGCACTCAATAAATGGCTTTTGTCACCCTCGGGTGTTGGCCAGCACGTGCCTATTCTGGTATTCAGGGAAATATCGAGATCGGGGCATGTCAGGTTAACTAACCCTGTTCTTCCGAACAGTAGCCTGACTACCTTTATGTCTCGTCCTAGGCTTTTGGTTTTGACTGTGGATTGACACGTGGCTCACATGGTGTCTGAGTAGGTCTGCTTCTAAAACCTCGTGTCTTAAAGTTGTCAAACTGCCCACGTGTATCTAACGGTTGGAAAGTACTTTATGTAGCCTTAGTTGGACTAAGCTGTCAAGCTGGCAAACGGTTGAGCGGTCGACTTTAGAGCTCAGATAAGTCTTCCTTTTAACTCCCTTGGGCCTTGAAAATCTCAATCCTCTCTGGGCTTTGACTTTAGTTTGGCTTTCGGGCCTCTTTCCCGACCTGCACCATTTTGTGGGCCGAAAAAGAGCCAGCATTAACATAATCAGTCTTCGCCAGCCACGCCAAAACTTTGTTGTGTTCCTTTCAAGGGCATTAAAAGGATAGTATAATGCAGCAAATAAAGGTGTCAAACCACCAGAGATTGATTAGGACCTATAAAAATTACTAGGTTTATGTGAACCTAAACTAAGCAATGACAATAACAAATTGAATTGGTTATTATTTGAAAAGTAAAGTCCACATCTCAGTTTTTAGAATTTTTAGAATTATTTTTTGCTCTACATATGCCGCTATCTGTTTTGGTGTGCATAGGAAGTGCATGAAGGGTAGAAATCTCAAGTTGAGTAGACTCGCCAAAGTTAAATTCGTTGATAACATTGGATTCTAAGATTCGATTCGTAATAAGTCTTCTAGGGGATTGAAGCTTTTTAGATTATATAATGTAACTTATGATACATCACATGATGTATTTTAAAGAAGGAAACGTATTTTAAATCTATTTTAAAGTATTTTAAATAGAGAATTAAATTGACGTGACACGGGATTACATAACGTAACTTATGATACATCGTGTGATGTACCAAAAATAAAGAAGGAAAACGTAACACCGACCTAATACTGCGTACATGTCACGTGTCAGCAGCAGACAAATCGCCGTGTCCATTCCATCTTCTTCTTCCTCAATTCTTCCCCGACTCTGACCCTTCTCCCTTTTGACCTTTACAAAAACTCAAAAGCTTCAATCTTTTGAATTTTCACAAATCCAAAACCCAAAATTCAGCTAAAATCCCAAATCCGAATTCCAAACAAACCATAACCCAGTTCTCAGAGCTCAATCCAATCAGCCATGGCGTACGTTGATCATGCGTTTTCGATTACAGACGAAGACATGATGATGGAGGACTCCTACACAGTCAACAACAAGCCTCCCATCAAGGAGATCGCTCTCGCCCTAGCCCTCCTCGTCACCGGCACTCTCGGCCTTGTTATCGGCATCCTCATGGCCTATAACCATGTCGGCGGCGACAAAGCTCACGGTAATCTACCCTACAAACCCCAACCCTAAAGCCCCTTTTGTTCAATTTTCAACTTTTTCTGTTGATTTTTAGTGGGTTTTTTCAATAAATTCAGGGTTATTTTTTGCAATACTTGGTGGGATCTTGTTTCTTCCGGGGTTCTATTACACGCGGATTGCTTACTATGCGTATAAAGGGTACAAGGGCTTCTCTTTCTCAAACATTCCACCTGTGTAGTAGCAGTAATCCATTAGTCCATTTCCTCCGCTTCCAACTTCACATGTACAGATCCCTTCTTAATTTTTAGTGATTTTGTTGTAATGGGCTTTGTTTATTTTTGTTATTTTTTAACTGTGCTTATTATATATACTGATTGTTCTTAATAGAGGAAGAGTTTCTTGCTTATGTATAATCTTTATCTGGCCAAATAGTGAACTTATACTCATTATCTTGTTACCTGATCTGTGTAGGGGAAGTACTCAATACATACATTCTGAGTAAATAAAAGGGGCTGTGTTTTGTTCTAATTTATCTCGTGTCATGTTATATTTCCCGTTTCCAAATGTCCGTTTATGATAACTGCATTGTGCAATTTGGTAGTTTGAATGAATAAAGCCACAACCAAAGGCAGATGCATATGATTTTGGGGAATTTAAATCGTTGTATTTGTGTTACTATTGTTGTTTTCTTGTTTGGGTTTTATGTTAACTGCATTGTGCAATTTGGTTGTTTGAATGAATAAAGCCACAACCAAATGCAGATACATATGATTTTCAGGGGAATTTAAATCATTGTGATTGTGTTACTATTGTTTTTTTTTTTTTTTTTTCCATGTTTGGGTTTTATGTTTATTGAGTTCATTTAGTGCTACGGAGGGAACTTGGGAATTGGACTTTCGTCCAGCTGGAATACCTTAGATATTTTATCACATTATGGATGAGTCGTAAGCTTCAGATTGATATTTTCTCAGTGCATAATGATATAACTAGTCTGATTGAAGTTTAAACATGTTGAAGCATGAAGAACATTATTCATTGAGAAAAGATTGTTTCAATTCTACGAAACTATTTTTTATTTTATTTGTTACTTTGGGAAAGGAAAATAGAATACGAGTTTAGTAACAAGCACAACAGTCCAATTGTTTCGAAATAGATAAGAAAATGGAGTGGTATTGAAATTAGAATCCATAGGAAAGAAATAGGTCTATGGATGGAAGAAAATCTTGAATATTATTGAAACTAGAGGAAACGAAGTTGTGAAAGATATGAAGGTTAGGTAATCAATGTAAGTTCTTATTGTGTAAAGTTTGTGTGCAGAGATATTAGTGTTGAGTGATTAAACTCGCATATTGTTGTAAACTTAAACAATACATAATTGTTCAGGCTGCTTCTGAGAGAATGGATGTGTCTGTTGTGTTTGTGTGCATATGAATGTGGACCAATCGTAAATACTTTTTGCTTTTATGGTTGGTGTTAGTGTGCGGGTTTTAGTTATGAGATCACTAACAGAGTACAGAGTTGATGCTTATAGGTTCTCCACTCCAGAAGTTTCACTTCTCAGTAGGGTCAAACTGCTATGTCATTAGTGTGGGATTATTTTTAATCTATTTTGTTAAGTATTGATTGAGAACTATAGAAACATGATCCAGAAAAAGAAAAGAGAGTGGGGGTGGAGGGACGAAAGGAAACATTCGGAGAGGAACATCTGAGCAGTTTCATGAGTGGTTCTGTACATACCATCTGTTAGGTTCAAACAACAGGGTTTCACAGATGTTCTTTTGGGGAGGACAAGAACAAAGTGTAAAATCTAGCCAAACACAAAATTCAAGTCTTTCTAGTTCTTATGTAATGAATGCAGTTTACACATGTTTGCGAGTTCATTGTCTTTGAGTTTCTCTGCGTTACAATAGTAATGTATTAGAGTGCCATAAATTAGTCTTTAGAATTAAGTATATTAATACGGATTTTCCCAGATTCATGTACCAATTAGCCTATAAAAAGGGCTACTTTGTTTGCTTTTAAAATCAGTGTTAGTGAAAGATATTCTGGATTTCTTGCTTGTTTGCAAGGCTACAGCAACCATGGAGTGATCCAAAGCACCTCTGGTATGCCGGAATTTTTCAATTTCTCTGTCGGAGTGATTCCAATACACCTTCGGTGTGATGCCAAGGGCGGGAGTCAGTCCTTGTACCTTCTATATTTCTATCCCTTCTGTTTGTCGTACATCAAACCTATTGTATCCTTATGTTTCTGCCTTAGTTATATTGATTGACCTTGTTGCTTGTTATGTTTAAGCTTAATAAGTTAGAACTCTGTGGACATAATCCCATATTAGTTTCTTATGTTTATTTGAGTAATTTTATCGCATCGACGTTTTTTCTTCTTTCTTCACCGGTTTCAACACTAGTGAAGTTTTGGGATGCAAAGTAGTTCTGCCAACTTGTTTGGTGGCACTAAAATGATGGATGGTGTAAGTTATGTCAAGATGCTTGAAAAACCCATATTTTGGAGGCACTGAAGTCTCCATCAAGAGTGCTTCATGAAAAAGAATGTGGAGTTCAGGGTTGCGTACAGTAGAGGATAAGTTTAGCTGAACAATGTTTTTATGAGCTACATTGTGTAGGTAGATTTTGAATTTTTTTACATAACAAATGTGTGATGGTTGGAATTGTTTGACATGATATCCAACCTCTCGCTCACCTCACCCAGCTCTGGCCTTTGTGTGTTGTCCTTTCAAAATTTATGAATATATGGGGTCGTCTTACTTCTACTTAGAAGCATTTCCAATAAAAGTGCTTCTATTAGAAGAACTTTGAAATTTATAAGGGCTTGTTTGGAAGTGTTTTTAAAATTACTGAAACGCTTTTGGTGAAAGTGTTTTTTTATTTCAAAGAAAACACTTAAAGTGCTTCTTGCAAAAATCACCACTTATGTGCTTATTTCATGAAGTACTCCGAGTCTATTTTCATGATTCACATACAATTTTACTATGGATTAGTTTCAAAAGTTATGGATTAGTTTGAATGGACGTGTGTCAATTGATTTGGTATATGGTTAGCATACACTACTGTTATGGTGGTGAGCAAAATGGTCTCAAAAATCAATCAAAGTTAATATCTATGACAAGTGAAACGATTAGCAGAATAGTACTGGTAAATGCTGCATTATTGTCAAACCAAACATGGTGAACAAATTGTTCTCAGTGTGAAATCCTTCACTTTCTACTACCAATTATTACATAAGTTGAAGTCCACGGGATACCAAAGTTCAATATTGTTTTCTGGTTTGGGGAACAAGAATGATAATTAAGTGGGGGTATCAAAAGCCATCAATATCTAACCAACAAGGAATCAACAGTTGTACACTTGTGATATTATGTACATGGCTAGTTGGTCCAGAATACTTGGTCTCGCTAGGTTATAGACGGTCTTAGCTTCGACCCACACATATATGAGGACGATGCGGGCGCGCGCGCACACACATATATATATATAGTGAATTTGATATTAAATTGTGACTTGTTGTAAATAAATTAATAGCGTGTACGTGCATTAACGACCGCTCTAAAAGTATTTTTGTAATATTTTATACTATTTTATCTTTTATATACGAGAAATTCGAAAGTCCGGCATCCAGACCATGTGTCCATGCGGATACAAAAGCATTTCCCTATCCCACCAAGTCCTGATTTATAATTCATGCTCACCCGACTCTATTTGTGTCTCACCCATCTCTTAGGCCATCTCCAACCGAAGGGTCTAGATGCCAAACATAGACCGAAAATCATCTCCAACCGAGGGCTAGACTATAACCCTTTAGCTCTCGGTTAGAGACGGTTTTTTGTCACAAGGCTATGTTTGGCCTATGGCCCTCTAGCCTCTCGGTTGGAGATGGTAAGAAATATAGCCATGCATAGTTCATTAAAATATTAATTTTTTGGAGGGCCAGAGGGCTAAAACAAGTCATCTGACCCTCCTTCAATTGGAGATGGTCTTACACCACACCTATGACCCACAATGTCTGGTAACCTCACACAAGAATCTCTCCCTATACACCCCAAATCTCTTGTCACTTAATAAGAACTATTTGTACGTACCATATTTACTGATCGCATGTCACACTAAGTGAGACTCAAAAGAGATTTAGTTATGTAAATGAATATCATTTTTGCGGGAGACATGATTAGTGGTGCAACCAGTTGATATGATACTTATAAGTGACATGAAAATAGTCTAATGTTCAATGTTGTCAGATTGTACATCAAAATCATTGATCAGATTGTGTTCTTTGATGAATGTGTGGTCTAAATTTATAGTCTGAATACAAAAGTCTCAAAGAGAGCGTAGCCCATATGGTATTATTCATTTTTTGCATGATGCATATATACTGAACTTCTTTGCTTTGTTCTTCTTGACTAGCTTCTCTGTGGATGGAACACCCATTAGAGAGCTCAAGAAGTTAGAATCCAAGGGAGTTTCTTTCCCAAAGAACCAAGGCATGATGCAGACGATTGGGGGACACGCGGCGGACTTGCGGAGACAGATTGGAGCAAAGCCCCCTTCACAGCCTCATACAGAAACTTCAACGCCCAAGCTTGCACTTGGTCTTCAGGCACTTCCCGTTGTCCTTCCAAGACCCCGAACGAGTCGAGCTGGTTTACTCAGTCACTTGACTGCATGATTTACAACTACTGTAGAGATTCCAAGCGCTTCCCACAAGGACTTCCTCCTGAGTCCTCTGCTGCATGAATTTAATTGATTTACTCCACTCCACGTAAAAGGTGTTAGTTTATAAGTGTATTTGCTGAAATATAATAAGAAGTCAGTTTTAAATATCAGCCCTTGGATCATAGTCCAAGTGTGCAGCTAAGATGTAATCTTAGATTAATTAATATTTCCTCTTGCTACATGTGCTAAGTGTGTGAAAATGAATGAAACAGTGTGAAGAGTTCGGTTCTTCTTCCTGAGCAGAATTCTCTCACTCTCTCTCTAGATTTCTTACTCTCTTCCTTTCTTCAATATTTATAATTTGATTGAAACACTCATACAAGATCATAGTCTGTATGCTAACATGGCCTCAGAGCTGTGTTCGATCAATTGATACTGGGCGTTTGGATCTGTGAAGAGAGCTACCCAGCAACTCAAAGCTGCGATCGAGTTGATTGCGATCTGAGTCTAACATGGCAGGATCGGGTAGTGGTGAGGTGAGAGCACCAATTTTCAATGGTGAAAATTATGAGTTCTGGAGTATTAAGATGAAGACCATTTTCAAGTCCTACGGATTGTGGAATCTGGTTGAAAAGGGTTTCGATGAATCAGATCTGAAGAAGATTGATGAATCTGAGGCGAAGAAGAAAGACAAAGAAGAGTCTAGTGGTGCTGGGAGGATGACGCTTGTTGAGGTACTCATGAAGGATGCTAAAGCTCTGGGTCTGATTCAGGGCGCTGTTTCAGATGAGATATTTCCCAGAATCTCTCATGAAGAAACTTCAAAAGGCGCATGGGACATTCTGCAGCAAGAATACCACGGTGATAAACAGGTTAGAAGTGTTAAATTGCAAGGTCTTCGTAGGGAATTTGAATATACCCGAATGCGAGATGATGAATCACTTTCTGTTTATCTTACAAAACTATTTTGATCTGATAAATCAAATGCGGAGCTATGGAGAGGAATTATCTCGAGAGAGAGAGTTGTTCAGAAATTATTAATCAGTTTGCCATCAGCTTATGACTCTATCTGTTCTGTTATTGAGCATTCGAAAGATTTGGATGTGATTGAGGTACAAGAAGTGGTGGCTTCTTTGAAGAGTTTTGAGTTAAGGATTGATAGGCATTCTGAAAATAAAACTGAGAGAGCATTTTGCTAGCCTTAGTGTGAATCCCAAACCAGTTAAGTTTACTGGAAATCAAAATGCCAAGTACCATAAGAATTGGAAGGACAAAGGCAAGAAGTGGGATAACAAACCCACAGATGGGGCTAGAAATTCTTGTAAGCATTGTGGCAAGCTACATTTTGGTGAGTGTCGATTCAAAGGCAAACCAAAATGTTACAACTGTGATAAGTTTGGTCATCTCTAGCAAGGGACTGTAATAGCAAGAAGGCAGTGCAACAACTTAATTTATGCCACTCAGGCAGACTCTACACCAATCATGTTTTATGCTAGTAATCAAACTAATACTAGTGTAAAAGGATGTGAAGATGTATGGTATGTAGATAGTGGGTGTAGTAATCATATGACTGGAAGGGAGGATCTACTGGTTGATATTGACAAGTATGTGACTGCAAAGGTTGAAATGGGTACTGGACAGCTTGTTGATGTAACTGGTAAAGGAAGTCTTATGGTTGAAACTAAAATAGGCAAGAGATATATCAAGGAGGTTATGCTTGTGCCTGGATTGAAAGAAAATTTGCTCAGTGTAGGTCAAATGATGGAGCACGGTTATTACTTGGTGTTTGGAGGTCATAAAGTAGAGATCTATGATGATAGCTCATATTCCAACTTGATTGCCAGAGTACCAATGAAGGGAAATCGAAGTTTTCCAATGAAGTTACAGTCTGGAATACATATTGCCTACAGGGCAAGTGTATGTCCTTCTACTGCTATGTGGCACAGAAGATTGGGTCATCTGAACATGAGCAGTTTGAAATTGATGCAGGAACAAGAATTGGTGGTCGAGTTACCGGAGATCAAAGTAATTAAAGGAGTGTGTGAAGGCTGTGTTCTTGGCAAACAATGCAGAGAAGCATTTCCAAGAGAAGCCACTACTAGAGCATCACTTCCTCTTGAGCTTATACACAGTGACATTTGCGGACCAATGCAGACAACTACAACAGCTGGAAATCGATACTTTCTCACTTTTATAGATGACTGCACCAGGATGTGTTGGATTTATTTTCTAAGGCATAAATCTGAAGTTCTCAATGTGTTTAAAAGGTTCAAAGCTACTGTAGAGTTGCAGAGTGAATATAAACTGAAGAAGCTTAGGAGTGATCGAGGAGGTGAATACACCTCAATGGAATTTAACAGATTTGTTGAAGATGTAGGCCTAGAAAGACAACTTACCACTCCATACACACCACAGCAAAATGGTGTGGCAGAGAGAAAGAACAGAACCATCGTGGAAATGGCTAAGTGTCTTATGTTGGAGAAGAAGGTTCCACTTGAATTCTGGGCTGAGGCAGTCAATACCTCTGTGTACATTCTGAATTGATGCCCAACCAAAGTTTTAAATAAGACAACACCTTTTGAAGCTTACAGTGGGAGAAAACCAGGAATTAAGCATCTAAAGGTGTTTGGTTCACTGTGTTATGCTCATGTACCAAGTCAACAGAGACAAAAGTTAGATTTGGCAAGCAAGAGATGTATCTTCTTGGGGTATGGGAGTTGTGAAAAAGGTTATAGGCTTTATAATATTGAATCTGGGAAGGTAATTGTTTCCAGAGATGTTGTATTTGATGAAGAGGCATGTTGGGATTGGAATGCACAGAAGGAAAGCAGTGTGAGTATTCAGTTTACTGAACTGTCGGAAGAAGAACAAAGGCATGAAGAGAATGTTTGTGATGATGACACACACTGTGAAATTAGTGAAGAGCATGTTGTGTCAAGCTCAGGTCCTGAAATTTGTGATCAAAGAGGAGTGACTGACTCACAGCATGTTGATCACACACCTCTCAAGTACAGAAGTGTTGCAGAAATATATGAGAAGTGTAATCTGTGTATTATAGAACCAGAGTGCTTTGAAGAAGCTGTCAAGGATGAATCCTGGCAGAAAGCTATGGAAGATGAAATTTCTATGATTGAGAAGAACAATACATGGGATCTTGTTGATAGACCTTTTGATAAACCAATCATTGGAGTCAAATGGGTTTATAAAACAAAATTAAATCTGGATGGTTCTGTGCTGAAAAACAAAGCAAGGTTGGTTGCAAAGGGTTATTCCCAGAAGCCTGGAGTCGATTTTAATGAGACTTTTGCACCAGTGGCAAGGCTTGACACTGTGAGAACTTTGGTGGCCCTTGCTGCACAGAAAGGTTGGATACTATTTCAGTTAGATGTAAAGTCCGCATTTCTAAATGGAGTGTTGAATGAAGAGGTATATGTAGATCAACCATCTGGATATGTCATACAAGGCAAGGAAGACAAAGTGTACAGACTTAGGAAAGCTTTATATGGTTTGAAGCAAGCTCCAAGAGCTTGGTATGAAGAAATAAACTCTTATTTTACAAAGGCTGGATTTCACAGAAGCCCGAGTGAAGCTACACTATACATCAAGACATCTCACAGTGGTATTATCATTGTGTCACTTTACGTAGATGATATTATCTACACAGGAAGTTCAAAGGAGATGATGACAGAGTTCAAATGTGAGATGATGAAACAGTAAGAGATGACTGATCTAGGAATACTTCATCACTTTCTTGGTCTTGGAGTATTGCAGACAGACAATTACATTTTTTTGCATCAAAAGAAGTATGCAAAGACTTTACTTGAGAAGTTCGGACTTCGGGACTGCAAGCCTGTTGCAACACCATTAGCTGTGAATGAAAAGCTTTCAAAAGAGGATGGAAGTGATCTGGCAGATGAAACTCTGTACAGGCAAATGGTGGGAAGTTTGCTATACTTGACAGCAACAAGGCCGGATATCATGTTTGCAGCAAGCTTATTAGCTAGGTTCATGCACAATCCTACCAAGAAGCATATGGGGACAGCCAAGAGAGTCTTGCGATACATACAAGGCACTGTGAACTATGGAGTGGTCTATGAAAAGGGAAAAGGAGCAGTGTTGGTTGGTTATTGTGATAGTGATTGGAGTGGAAGTGAAGATGATATGAGGAGTACATCTGGCTATGCATTCAATCTTGGTTCTGGTATGTTTTCTTGGGCCTCAATCAAACAAAGCAGTGTTGCTCTTTCAACTGCAGAGGCAGAATACATCAGTGCAGCAGAAGCTACTGCACAGGCCATTTGGCTAAGATTTGTACTCTCTGATTTTGGGGAAGAACAAGCAGAACCAACTAAGTTGCTGTGTGATAATACTTCAGCAATTGCCATATCAAAGAATCCAGTCCATCATCACAAAACCAGGCACATTAATCGGAAATTTCATTTCATCCGAGATGCACTTCAAGATGGTGAGATTGATCTGGTATACTGCAAGACTGAGGAGCAGGTTGCAGATATATTCACTAAAGCTTTGGCAAGGGATCGATTTGAAGTACTGAGGACAGCTTTGGGAGTGATTTCAGCACATCACTTAGAAGGGAGTGTTAGTTTATAAGTGTATTTGCTGAAATATAATAAGAAGTCAGTTTTAAATATCAGCCCTTGGATCATAGTCCAAGTGTGCAGCTAAGATGTAATCTTAGATTAATTAATATTTCCTCTTGCTACATGTGCTAAGTGTGTGAAAATGAATGAAACAGTGTGAAGAGTTCGGTTCTTCTTCCTGAGCAGAATTCTCTCACTCTCTCTCTAGATTTCTTACTCTCTTCCTTTCTTCAATATTTATAATTTGATTGAAAAACTCATACAAGATCATAGTCTGTATGCTAACAAAAGGTTTTTGGATAACATATAAGCTGTAATCGTAACGCGTCAACATGACAAATAAAGAGACAAATGAAGTTTTTGTGACATGACCAACGGAGGAGAATCGACTGGCTGATGTCTGCGTTCAAAGCAAAGTTAACAGTTAAGAATTCGAGCATTTCCAAGAGACTCTTTAAAACAATCAAAAGACAAAGCATTTGAGCTCCTTATGATTTACGTATAATTAAGCGCTCATAGCAACCTAACTATGTTAGGCAACAACCAAAAGAGAATTTTGGATGTCAGAAGGTAGATATTTTATCACCTACTTTGGACTTTGGAAGGTTGCCTTGCCTCTCCTAATGGAGAAGAATGATTCGCATGGAACCGCAACAGGTTACCATCACATGAAGTTCTAGTCCAATAATGCATTATCATGCATGTGTTTCTCTTGACACAACTGTGAAACAGAAGAAGCATGGCTTGAATTGTTAATTACAAAAAGTTAAATCACTAATTATCCTTCCGAACGTTAACGAGAATTGAGGTCGAGTACATCTAAGGTTCTCATATCAATAATTTGCTAATTAAAAGTTGATTACGTTGTTCTGGTTCTGCTCAAAGTATCTACAAAGTGATTCTATCTGCATCCCCATTCAGTTTCATTAGAGCATCTTCAATGGGGACCCTAAATGGAGTCCTACAACCGTAGTCCCTAAATATATGGACAAAAGGCTTTCAATGGGTCAGAATAGAAGTTCTCAAAGTATCTCAATAGATAAGGACTCATCAAATACATCAAATGTGGGGATTGTATATAGCTAGGGACTCAAATAGTGAGCCCACTGTTGATTTTAAGTGGGAAACCACCCCACCCACTTGTTCTCTTTTTTGGGGAATGCTGCACAACAACTTCTCTTTTTTGTTTTGGTTTTTCTCTTCCAATGGTAGAAATAACATTTTGGTTTTTATTAATGGCCACAGTACTCCAACGAAGTGAGCAATGATTTTTTGTTATTTTAGTCCTTACGTTTAGGGATTATACTATAAGACCTCCCATTGCAAACAATATTCCCTTAAAATCTCCAAATGAGTCTTCAAAATTGGTGGTGGGAGTCCCTAAAATGCTCTTACCTTCATACATTTCACTTAGATTGTTATATATTACATAACTTTACAGCCACTTAGTACTACAGTCTAGTGATATTCCTCTTCACTTGTAAGTGAGAGGTCTTAGATTCGATTCTCGCTAAAGGTATATTTGAACCACATTATTGCTAGCCCATTGTGAGACTAAGCACACTCCATTACCCTTATTGTAGATAATATTGTTTGTTCCAAAAAAAAAAAACTTTACATTAATTGGCATGGTTTGTTTAATGGAAAGTAAGTGGGATAGAAAGCTTAATAGAAGTTACCATCTAACTGTAATAATTATAAATTTCTTTACTGTAATAAGGAATTGTAAACTTACTTTACTACCAAATCAATAGAGCCATCGAGGGACGTCGTGAGGTGTGGTAAACTCCAAGATAATGAACTCTGCATAAAAAACAAAGGATTAGTAATTTGTATGCAAGAAGTATTTTGTCTTGAACCAGATATACAAAGACATAAACTTAGCTAGTAATTATTTATCGCGACTTGAAATTAAAATAATAGTTGCATAATCTAATCTTTCATATCAGGACATTTTCTGGGGCACGAAGGATACCGACCAACTTTTCGGGCACGGAGATGGCAACTCCAGCCATTCTCTTTTCTATATAAACCATGAAGCAGCCTACCATTTTGGTATACCTTTCATTTACTTCATCGAACCCTAGCTGCACTTCACTAGCTATACACCATGGAGTACATTACCCAGTACTACTGCAAATGTATTTGTCTGGCCTTCATCTTCATTTTGGGAGCCTTGTCTTCTCGAGCCACCTCTCGCACTCTCCACGATGCATCAATGTACGGAAAATACGAGCAATGGATGGCTCGTTATGGACGTGCATATGCTGACATAAATGAGAAGGAGAAGCGCTTCAATATTTTCAAGGAAAATGTGGCGTTCATAGAATCTTCCAACAACGATGCAAACAAACTTTACAAATTGAGTGTCAATCAATTTGCAGACCTTACGAATGAAGAATCAAAGCCTCGAGAAATGGATTCATGGGGCACGAATGTTCCACAAAGACGACTGCTTTCAAATATGAAAATGTTACTGCACCACCAACTGTAGATTGGAGAAACAAAGGAGCTGTGACACCAATCAAGGACCAAGGCCAATGCGGTAATTAATTTTATCTGTAGACAAACCTGGAACTTCACTAGTTAAATAATGTCTCTTAATCTAACCCTTATTTAATTTAACAAGCAAAAACAACATCAATATTTAATTTCAATTATATACGTGCAGGATGTTGTTGGGCTTTTTCAGCAGTGGCAGCCATGGAAGGGATTACTAAGCTTACAACTGGTAAACTGATATCTTTGTCTGAGCAAGAGCTGGTTGATTGTGACACAAGCGGTGTGGACCAAGGTTGCGAGGGTGGTTTGATGGATGATGCATTTCAATTCATTAATAAAAACCATGGACTTAGTACGGAGACTAATTATCCTTACACGGGTGTTGATGGTACTTGCAACACCAAGAAGGAGGCCAGCCATGCAGCAAAGATAACTGGCTACGAAGATGTGCCTGCAAATAGTGAAGAAGCCCTTTTGAAGGCTGTTGCAAATCAACCAATTTCTGTTGCCATTGATGCTGGAGGTTCGGATTTTCAATTCTATTCAAGCGGTGTCTTTACAGGAACTTGTGGAACAAGTCTTGATCATGGGGTTACCGCTGTTGGTTATGGAATTAGTGCTGATGGTACCAAGTATTGGTTGGTGAAGAACTCATGGGGCACCCAATGGGGTGAAGAAGGATACATAAGAATGCAAAGAGGTGTTGAGGCAAGGGAAGGTCTTTGTGGCATTGCTATGGAAGCTTCTTACCCCACTGCGTAATTTAAATTACCATAAAAATTATGCTTTCTATGTATAATATGTATCGATATTTATCATGATGTGTACATGACGAACTTGTACGTTTAGCACACGCTCTACTAAAAATGTAGCAAAAACAAAAGAAAGTTTTATACTACCTTATGATGTTCTATGGTCTAAAGCTTAGGTAATCACTTGCTAGGAATCATTATCAAACAACTTTTTGCTAGTATTTGATCATCTTTAATGGCCTCCTAAATGAATTCCTAGCTAAACTTTAGAGAGAATTTGAAAAATTCATCTGCAATCACACTATCTATCCACCCCCTCAGAGCATCTTCAAGGAAAAGCAAATTAATACCGCAAAATTGTACTTTGATAGCCTACGTGGCATTTTGCCTTCCAATATTTGCCTTTGTCAAAAATATGTCCCTCCAAATGGTGAGGCATAGTGCCAACACTGCCAAGTCAATTTGTTATTTTATTTGATTTTCGTCAAATAGGAATTTGAATCATATATTATTAGCCTATTGTGAGATTAATCCATCATTTCCCTCTTAGTGTAGATAATAACATTTGTTCAAAAAAATTAAATTAGATAAACTAGATATAATATGTACATGGGTAGTAGAGTAATTGGCTATATGTAAAGTATGATAAATTATAGTTTTCACTCTTAAATTTGAGGGAAATTACAATTTTATACATTATCGTTAAAACTTTACAATGTGATTCATAAAGTTATAATATAATTGCAATGTCATATATTCGTTAAAAATTTGTTAAATAAACCGTCAAGTGATGACTTGATGAAATAAAAATAAATTAAACAGTAGTTTATTAATGTAATTATTTGAAATAATTGAAGAAAGT